CGCGCATGCAATTGGCCCTCCAGCGCAGAGACTTGGATAGTCACGGCCAGGAGACCAAGCCACAGGAAGAGTGAGTGAAGCATGATGGCGGGCAGAGATGAAAGAGACGCAAGGTGAAGGAGTTGATTGCGGAAAGGAGAGTAGAATCGGGAAGGCCATCCGGATGTCGTGAGCTTACCGAGCGAGTCAAGACCGCATCTTTTCTGTCAAACTTTGAGTCGAACACGAGACGGTCGTCACTCGGAACGTCGTCATGAAAGGGCTGTCAGCTCGACTAGGAAAGCCAAGAATGCTTGCTTGCTCGCCTTGTCCCTCTCAGAAACTTCGGGGCGAATATGAATGGTCGTCGCGGGGATAATGCGACAGAAAGTCTGTCCCTCGAACTTGTCACATACGAACCCTGCCAAATCCCACTACTCCACTCTGACTCCCCTTTTCTGTGGCCCCAAGCCAGCGCTCGTGCTCCTTTCACGTCGCCGAAGCTGCGAGTGTGCACGCGCTCAAACGTGAATGCTACCGCACTCTGCAGATTTTTGCTGCACGAATGAGATCGCATGTCGGGATGCCCGAAGCTGCGCACTAATGGCTGCATGCATCGTGCAGCACTCACTCATCTCATCCAATGGCCGATGCCCGCGGGCAGTTGATGGCGTATTCCACGATGCACGATGCACAATTGTTTGTTCTGCTGCGTGTTTGTTGCCTCGCCTGCGTGCATCTTGCTGTACTACTTACTCTCTTTGCGTCATGACTTGCATTTGCTGCGGAGCAAAATTGCAGGCATGATGGTCCGAGATGCGCAAGTGTCGAGGAACGTTGACCGCATAGCATAGCGCTCCGCAACGAAGCCTGCAACGAGGCGCCAGACCTCATCACTTCGTCCCTCAAACGGAGCTCACTCATTGCATCCATCACCTCTCCTCCAACCCTATAGCTCGAGGTTAAATGCAAACGATCACCTTATTATGAAGTGCGCACGGTAATAAAGATCGAAGATACAAAGCGTGTTTTTGGGGGGTTGAAACTTCATGCGACAGTAGTTCCTAGGCATGGACATTC